GAGGCTGAGGCAGGAGAATTGCCTGAACCGAGGAGGCGGAGGTTGCGGTGAGCCGAGATGGCGCCATTGCACTCCAGCTTGGGTAACAAGAGTGAAACTCTGTCTCAAAAAAAAAAAAAAAAAAAGAAGAAGAAAGGGAAGGGAAGAAAGGAGGAAGGAGAGAGGGAGGGAAAGAAAGAAAAAGAGGACAAAATTTACAAATACGAAATGTATTGTAAGGCTTTAATAATCAAGATGGTGAGGTATCAGCACACAGGAAGGCATGTAGATCTATGAAAGAGAAATAAACCCTTACATTTACGGCACATTGATTTTGGAAAAGGGTCTCAAAAACCATTTAACAGGGAAATAATAGTGTATTCAACAAATTGTACTAGAAAAACTAGGTATCCTTGTGCAAAAGAATGGAGCTGGATCACTCACACTGTACACAAAACATAAGTCAAAATAGATCAAATACCTAAATGAAAGCTTATTATAAAACTGTTATAATGTAGGAATAAATCTTCATGACCTTTAGTTAGGCAATGGCTTCTTACCTATGACTTCAAAAACACAAGCAATACAAGAAAAAAATAACTTGGACTTCCCAGGAATTAAAAACTTGTGTTGCAAATGATATCATCAAGAAGGCAAAAAGACAGCCCATGGAATAGGAAAACAAATTGCAAATTACAAACCTGATAATGGACTTGTTTCAAAAGGACAAGGAATCCTTCCTCCCCGCAGCTGCTGGCTGGCATAGGTGGTCTAGGGAACGTCATGTGGTTCAGAAGGACAAGGAATCCTTCCTCCTGTAGCAGCTGGCTGGCCCAGATGGTCTGGGGAACACCAGGTCATTCAGAAGGTTGAGGAATCCTCCCTCCCTGTAGCAGCTGGCTGGCATAGGTGGTCTGGGAAATACCATGTGATTCAGAATGACGAGGAATCTTCCCTCCCTGCAGCAGCTGGCCCGAGTGGTCTAAGGAACACCACATGTTTCAGTGCCAGGATCCCAGACTGGTTTTAAAACATGGGGAATTAACATTTAAGGAGACTATTCTCTTTAACTAATTGCTAGTCTGACTATTCTGCTTCTGGATAGAGTATTTCTTGTTTTTATTTTTGAGACACAGTCTCTTCCTGTTGCCCAGGCTACAGTGAAGTGGTGCAATCTCAGCTCACTGCAACCTCCCTGCAACCTCCGCCTCCTGGGATTGAACAATTCTCATGCCTCAGCCCCCTGAGTAGCTAAGACCACCACATCCGGCTAAGAGTTTGTTTTGTTTTTTTTTTTGTTTTTTGTATTTTTAGTAAAGATGAGGTTTTGCCATGTTGGCCAGGCTGGTCTTGAACTCCTGACCTCAAGTGATCTGCCCACCTTGGCCTCCCAATGTGCTGGGATTACAGGCATGAACCACCAGGCCCCACCTAGAGTGATTATTTGAATGGGTTTGTGAGTAAAGGCTCAGTAAACACCTCCTGCCCAACACTGCTCAAAGCTGAGGACCCAGAGGAAAAGTCCCGCATTGTCACTAAACTCCATTTCAAATCCAGGAGCCTTTTCTTTCACAAGTGTTGATAGTAGCAGAGGCAAACACAGGAAGCACTTTCCATAACACGAGACTATGAGACTTCCGGATTTGTTTTTAAAGAAACTGCAAAAGAGAAATGGAAAGAGAAGTCCACATAAAAAGTTGCACTTGCACTTTTTGTTTATGGTAGAGTTATTCACCATGGCCAAAAAGCTATAAACCCAAACATCGACCAACAGATGAACGGGTTAGCAAAATGTGGCGTATTTTATATATAACAAAATGTGTATATTATTATAAAGACAATTATATAACAAATGTGCACATTCTATACAATGGGATATTACTTAGCTGTATTTTAATATAATATATAAAAAGAATAAAGCACTGATATATGCTACAACATGGATGAACCCTGAAAACATGAAAGAATCTGGACACAAAAGATCACATAAAGGATTCCATTCAGATGAAATCTCTGGAAGGGCGAACCCTAGAGACAGGAAGTGAGCCAGCGATTGCAGAGGGCTGTGGGGGGATGGGAGGGGTTGGTAAAGGATACAGGTTTCTTTTTGAGGTGTAGTCAGTGTTGTAGATTGACTGCTGGGATAGTTGCATGTACCAGGAATATAATAAAAAAGATGGCATTGTACACTTTAAGTGGGTGAATTGTATGTCATTTGAATTACATCTCAATAGCACTGTTTTTTAAAATAAATAAATAAATAAATGCTCAGTGTATGGGTAGTTAAAAATGAAACATCATCATACCATTATTGAAAGGGAGTTTGGATCCACATATTGGGGGAACTCGGGAAGCCATTTTCCCATGGAAACATTACTTACGGTATAAACAGCCCTTTTAGTTTAAAGCCACACTCTGCGTGACATCATTTTGTAGTGTAATTAAGATGGCGGTGTTTCGGGGTCCAAAGTGGCTCCCGCCGGAGGTCGTGGCGCTTGCGAAGGCAAGGTCATGAGTTCAAGGCTAACCTGAGCAACCTTATAAGCTCAAACTGATTGGCAAAAAAAAAAGATGGCGGTGTTTAAATAATGAGTACTGTGAAGTTTGTCAGAATCAAAATGGAGTCACTTGGGTTAAAATGCTGAAAAATAGAGCCAGGGAAGGCCATGAAGGGAGAATTTTCATGCACAAAAGCCTGACAACAAGAGCTACTACAGAAGACTGCAAAAATCACAACCTCACCAAGAGGCCATCACAACCCACACACACACACATACATACACACAGGTACATACACACACAGATACATCACAGCCACACACACACACATACACACACACACACACGCTTCTGTGAGGAACACCTGCCCAGCAACTGCCTGTCCAGCCTCCAACTGGCACCACCCTTGGTATTGATCATTGTGCTAAGAATAATTATCTCTAAACACTGTATAATCCTCCTCATTTTTCCTTTAAAAACCTTTGTCTTCCTTCAGCTCCCTGAATCACGCAGAGTTTGCCATGGCACATGTATTCCCACTGCAATGCAAATAAACGTGTTTTTTTAGAGTATTTGTTATTTAGGTTCATAACGCAAATACATGTGCTCAGGATATTATTTAAACACTGTCTTCTAGAAGTGACACCCAAGCAAACATTACCCAGTGTCACCACAAGACTGTTTATCGAGGTCTGTTACATAACTGGACATCCTAACTTCTATTTTAGGTACACAAAATATTGTGCCATTTATTCCTGGAAGCCATGGCTCCGTCAGCTGGTTAAGTAAAATAAGATCACATTAAAAAGGGGGAAGGGGAAAGAGAAATGGCGGGGGAAGACAGAGAGGGGGACATTCAGTGTAGCTCTTTTACAATAAGAGTTTGATAGTTGAAGCCGGGCGCGGTGGCTCACACCTATAATCCCAGCACTTTGGGAGGCTGAGGCGGGAGGATCACGAGGTCAAGAGATCGAGACCATCCTGGTCAACAGGAAGGCTGAGGCAGAAGAATTGCTTGAACCCAGAAGGCGGAGGTTTTGGTGAGCCGAGATCGTGCCATTGCACTCCAGTCTGGGTAACAATAGCGAAACTCCGTCTCAAAAAAAAAAAAAAAAAAAAAGAGTTTGATAGTTGAGTGAATTTCAAGTTTGAATAAAATGCACTTAAAGCTAATTCACGTGGGCCTTTATTCAGTTTGAAAGAATATTGCACATTAAAAACAGAAGAATGCAATGGAAACCGTCTTCTTAATTTGATGGTGAATACACTTCCTTCAGTTAGGATAATTAAACAAAAACAGTCCTATGTAATTCCCCTGCACATATTCCCCTGTGCCTGCACATGTTTCTGTATTGAATTGTGTCCTATGATACAGATGCAGCAGAAGCGCAAGAGGTCAAATACACAAAGAAAGATCTTTGCTCAAAAGACAGTAACAGAGGAAAAGCAGGTACCGTTTTCTCAATGTGTAGCTTGGCTCTGCCAATCTTCTTATCTCTGTAGTTTTTCTCCCACTGTGGAACAGGCAAAATGATATTTTCATCTCACAGGGTCACTGTGAACCTTACATGATCTCATCCATGTAAGACTCGTGACAGCATCTGGTGCTCGGCTGCCATGGAGCCAATGCCAGCCATCACCATTGCATTTCCACTGTCTTTCATCTCTGATTTCTTTCCAGAGTTAGGCCTTTGGAAAGGTGGACATAAAATCTTCTTAAGTAAAAACCAGGTTTTAAGGTGAGCATCAGTGCAATAAGTTTAAGGAGGGTGAGTAGAGAGAGAGAGAGAGAGAGAGAGCGCGTGCTTCTAACGGCACCTGCATTCTGGTTCCCTTACAAAAAGGAGCAAACTCAGAATGCAAAATGGAACTGCCATGATCTCTGCAGATGCCTTTCTTCAAAGCTGAGTTCTGCTATCCCTCTAATCAGAAAGATGAACCATCAGAAGAGCAAATCTGTTCCAACTTGTCCTAAGAACTGGAGAAAGCCAGACCAGGCTAATGCTTGTTTCTACCCATTCAACAGCAAAATTAGTCACCTGGACTTTATTAAGGAACTGAATATGTTCCAAGAATTCCATGCATATAAGTGCTTATAGATGCCAGTCATCAAGATCTATTAAGGGTAATTCCTCATTTTCAAGAGTCTGAATAGGATACTCTCTGCAACTCCACATTCTGGAGAAAGGTTTTTCAGGCCACAGATTTTCTCTAGTCTTGTAGCTGGTAATAAAATCAAGTTAGATTATGATTTTATGAAAACGTAAGTCATAAAAATCCTTTGGAAAACTTCTCTTTGGAGCATCCAATACATTCTCTCTCTTTTTTTTTTTTTTTTTTTTTTGAGGCGGAGTTTCGCTCTTGTTACCCAGGCTGGAGTGCAATGGCGCAATCTCGGCTCACTGCAACCTCCGCCTCCTCGGTTCAGGCAATTCTCCTGTCTCAGCCTCCTGAGTAGCTGGGATTACAGGCACGCGCCACCGTGCTCAGCTAATTTTTTGTATTTTTAGTAGAGACGGGGTTTCACCATGTTGACCAGGATGGTCTCGATCTCTTGACCTCGTGATCCACCCGCGTCGGCCTCCCAAAGTGCTGGGATTACAGGAGTGAGCCACCGCGCCCTGCTCAACTCATTCTCGTAGGTCACAGGACAACTAAGCTATCCAGGAATAATGCAGATCAAATGGTTTTCTCTAAGTCATTCATCAAACAATACTTTTGTTTTAAGCACTAGGGGAATTATGACTTCAAAGAAAAATCAGTTTCCTAGTCTTTAGAGTTTAATGCACATTACTACATGCTCAAGAACAAATCATAAAAAAAATCGATTTTCTTTCCAATGTTGAGAAGTTGCCAAAAAAGGCATGAGCTATGACATTCCTAAACAGAACAACTCAGTATTTTGTGTTCCAGCAACAACAGGAAAAGTAAGAAGGGTTCATCAAAAGCAAGCAGAATGTGCTCCTCCAATGTTCCCCAGACACCGCGTCATATTTCACTTTGAAATGCATTGCCATTAATCACTTTTTAAAAAGACTAAAATTGCCACAAGGAAGAATAGGCGGGCCAGCAAATGTTATATTCAATGTTGTTGTTTTTTTTTTTTTCTTCTTCTTTTCTTTTGAGACGGAGTTTCGCTCTTGTTACCCAGGCTGGAGTGCAATGGCGCGATCTCGGCTCACTGCAACCTCCGCCTCCTGGGTTCAGGCAATTCTCCTGCCTCAGCCTCCTGAGTAGCTGGAATTACAGGCAGTTGCCACCATGCCCAGTTATTTTTTTGTATTTGTAGTAGAGATGGGGTTTCACCATGTTGACCAGGATGGTCTCCATCTCTTGACCTCGTGAACCACCCGCGTCGGCCTCCCCATAGTGCTGGGATTACAGGCTTGAGCCACCGCGCCCGGCTATATTCAATCTGTTTTATATGAAAAATATAAAAATAAACGCTTTATCAGTCACCACAGCTCCTTTATTAATTCAATAGAAAAAAATAATCGAAGGCACATGCTTTTGGATGCAAAGCACAGGCAGAGTTCTCGCCACTGCAAAGGGAAAGAGGGAGGGACTCCTAGACCATCCAGGAAGCAGAACTCATCGGGTGCCCGCGCTCTGCCCGGCGGGAGAACACGCGCCTTTCGCACTCACCGGCGTGGTCAAGGCCTCCCTGGCCCCTGAAAAAGGCCAACATTTATGGTGCCTTACTTACTTTTCAAAGAAAATGAGACATGTGTACCCCTCCCCTCCCCGCTTTTTCTTTTTTCTGCTCGGGTCACCCTCGGGGCAGGGTCCCAAGGAGGAGGCCGGCTCCCTCCCGCGCCGGGTCCATTCACTCTAGAGCAGGCAGAGTCACCTGGCTTCTGCGCGGCAGGGTGAGGCCTACGTGGGAATCTAGGGAAGGCCGGAGGCAAACACTGCAGGAGAAGGTGGGGGAGGCGAGCAGGGAGGCCAGGGGAGGGGAGGGGAGGGGAGAGGAGGAGAGGGGAGAGGGGAGCCGGTAGGCCAGGGGAGGGGAGGAGAGCCGGGAGGGGAGGGGAGAGACGAGCAGGGAGGCCAGGGGAGGGGAGGGGAGGGGAGCGGAAGGGAGACGGGAGCGGGCGAGGGTGCGGGGCGTGGAGCGCGAGGCATCTGCGGGGACCTGGGCAGCTCCTCCCAGGTCGGTTTTCCCCTTCCGGGGAGGCGCTGGGTCGGGCCTTCTCACCGGGGTCGCTGTGGGGACCGGTCCCGGGACTGACGCCCTGGGCTGGGATCCCTGCTTCTCGCCCGCGCACTCTTGCTTCCTGGGGGGCCACCGCCAGCGCCCTGCAGGGCAGGGTACAGGGACAGGGGACGGGCGGGTCTTCGGGGATTTCCACCGACTGTGTCCACGCCGCGCCTGGGGAGCGGGAGGAGCAGGCGGGTTCTCGCCCTCTGAGCCCAGGCGAGGAAGTGCCTTGGCAAGGCAGCCCGGGTCCTCCAGGCGACACCCTAGGTCTCCGAGGCCAGTTCTCACCCGCAGACATCCGCGTCTTCCAGTGCCGAGGCCGCTATAACCAAACACTGTAGCCTGGGTGCTTCCTCAGCCGCACAACACGCTTCCTCCCGGTTCTGCAGGCCGGGAAGAGGTGGCTCCCGTGAGGGCCTGGGCGTCCCTCAGGGATGGCGCCTTCCAGCTGCCTCCGAGTTCAGCAGAAGGGACGAGGGAGTCCCCAGCCCTTTGACTGAGGCCAGGACCCATCCATGAAGGAGGTGCCTGTGGACTTAACCGCGGCCCCAAGACCTCACCTGTTAATGCTGCCACGTTGGGTGTAAGGTGCCAAGCTGCGAATGTTGGGGCCACCGAGCTCCTTAGGAGCACACGGATGCCATGCGCTCAGTTTCTAATGTTCTCACAGGCCCAGCACCTTCTTATATTAAAACAGAAAAGGAAACAGCATTCCGGCATGATGCTTCATTAAAGATTATCACATGCAGATTAAAAAGCGTTAGAGATATTCTAAATCATTAGTATTGGTTGAAGTTGCCATTAGAGACTAAACAGGTTTTTTTTGTGCTTCTTTGTTTTATTTCTCTACAACAAACTATGGTTTTTATAATAATACGAAAGACCGGTAGGATAAAAAAGTTTTTTTAAACAAAACTTTACAAATCCACATTTATATTCAAATCAGCAATGATCCCTGCAGCGTGTTGGGTCCTTTTTCCCCCCAAAATTATACGTGCAAGTCCTAGCCCCTCACACCTTTAAGGTGGCCTTATTTGGAAACAGTCTTTGCAGAAGTAATAAGGTAAGGATCTCCAGATGAGAGCAGCCTGCGTGGGGTACAAGGCAGAAAATCAAGGCCTGAGTGCGTGTGGACACACACCCCCACCCCACCCCCCAGGGACGAGCCCCGGCCACTCATCTTCCTTGTCACAGGGCCAGGCACAGTGGGGCTCACCCCGAGTCACAGGCCTTGGTTCCCTGCCAGCTAGCAGAATTATTCAGATAGCCTGTCACATCCTCCCATGGGACACGGCACCTGCCTTCTTCATACTACACAGCCTGCACTCCACAGCCGCTGGGCGTTCATTCTGTTTCTAGATGTGGCCCTGCCTGGCAGGCCCTGTCTTCCTCCCTGAGGCAAGTAAGTAGAGTGACTCACACGTCACCTGGCCAGTGTCAGGCATCAAGTGTGCAGCCATCCGCATCCTCCCTCACCAGACCCCTTTATCCAGGTAGGCCCTAGACCCAATGACTGGTGTCCTGCTAAACAGCAGAGAAGACAGAGCTACACAAAGAAGAAAAGAGGTCTGGAGAAGAAGGTAGGGGCAGAGCCTGGAGGGACAAAGGGACACAACCTCAAGGTGGGAAACCCTGCCAGGAGCATCCAGAAGCCCAGGGGGAGTTCTCCTCCAGAGCCTCTGCCTCCCTCAGGTACCCTGTCCATACCAGACGGCAGAACCTCACCTCCGCAGAAGGACATGACCCTGTCCACACCAGACTGCAGAGCCTCACCTCCGAAGGAAGACATGCCCTGCCCACACCAGACTGCACAGCCTCACCTCCCCAGGGGGACATGCCCTGCCCACCCCAGACTGCAGGGCCTCACCTCCGCAGGGTACATGCCCTGCCCACACCAGACTGCAGACCATCACCTCCGCAGGGGACATGACACTGTCCACACCAGACTGCAAGCCTCACCTCCACAGGGGACATGCCCTGCCCACTCCAGACTACAGGGCCTCACCTCCGCAGGGTACATGCCCTGCCCACACCAGACTGCAGACCATCACCTCCGCAGGGGACATGACACTGTCCACACCAGACTGCAAGCCTCACCTCCACAGGGGACATGCCTTGCCTACACCAAACTGCAGAGCCTAACCGCAGGGGGGCATGACCCTGTCCACACCACACTACAGAGTCTCACCTCCTCAGGGGACATGCCCTGCCCACGCCAGACTGCAGAGCCTCACCTCCACAGGGTGACGTGACCCTGCCAACACCAGACTGCAGAGCCTCAGCTCCACAGAAGACATGCTATTACCACACCTGACTGCAGAGCCTCATCTCCGCAGGGGAAGATGCCCTGCCCACACCACACTGCAGAGCCTCACCCCGGAGGGGACATGTCCTGCCCACACCAGACTACAGAGCCTCACCTCTGGAGGGGACAGGACCTACCCAGGCCAGATTGCAGTGTCTCACCTCCCCAGGGGGACATGCCCTGCCCACACCAGACTACAGAGCCTCACCTCCACAGGGGGAAATGACTCTGTCCACAACAGACTGCAGAGCCTCACCTCTGCAGGGGGACATGCCCCACCCACACCAGACTGCAGAGCCTCACCTCCACAGGGGGACATGACTCTGTCCACAACAGACTGCAGACCCTCACCTCTACAGGAGGACATGCCCTGCCCACACCAAACTGCAGAGCCTCACCTCTGCAGGGGGACATGCCCCACCCACACCAGGCTGCAGACCATCACCTCCTCAGGGGACACGAAACTGTCCACACCAGACTGCAGAGCCTAACCTCCGCAAGGGACATGCCCTGCCCAGACCAGACTGCAGAGGCTCACCTCCACAGGGGGACAGGACCCTGCCCACACCAGACTGCAGAGCCTCACCTCCGCAGAAGACATGCCGTTCCCATACCTGGCTGCAGAGCCTCACCTCCACAGGGGAACATGCGCTGCCCACACCAGACTGCAGAGCCTCACCTATACAGGGGGACAGGACCCTGTACACACCAGACTGCAGAGCCTCACCTCCACAGGGGGACATGATATGCCCACATCAGACTGCAGAGCCTCACCTCCGCAGGAGACATGCCCTGCCCACGCCAGACTGCAGAGCCTCACCTCCGCAGGGGGACATGCCCTGCCCACACCAGACTGCAGAGCCTCACCTCCGCAGGGGGACATGACCCTGCCCAGACCAGAATGCAGAGCCTCACCTATGCTGAGGACATGCCCTGCCAACACCAGACTGCAGAGCCTCACCTCCGCAGGGGAACATAATCCTGTCCACACCAGACTGCAAAGTCTCACTCCACAGGGGGACATGCCCTGCCCACACCAGACTGTAGAGCCTCACCTCCGCAGGGGACATGCCCTGCCCACACCAGACTGCAGACCCTCACCTCCACAGGGAACATGCCCTGCCCACACCAGACTGCAGGGCCTCATCTGCGCACGAGGAAATGACCCTGTCCACACCACACTGCAGAGCCTCATCTCTGCAGCAGACATGCCCTGTCCACACAAGACTGCAGGGCCTTACCTCCACAGGGGACATGCCCTGCCCACACCAAACTGCAGAAACTCACCTCCACAGGGGACATGCTCTGCCCACACCAGACTGCAGAGCCTCACCTGCGCACGAGGAAATGACCCTATCCATACCACACTGCAGAGCCTCATCTCTGCAGCAGACATGCCCTGTCCACACAAGACTGCAGGGCCTCACCTCCACAGGGGACATGCCCTGCCCACACCAGACTGCAGACCCTCACCTCCACAGGGGACATGCCCTGTCTACACCAGACTGCAGAGCCTCACCTCCACAGGGGACATGCCCTGCCTACTCCAGACTGCAGAGCCTAACGTTTGCAGGGCGACATGCCCTGCCCACACCAGACTGCAGAGCCTCACCCCCACAGGGGACATGCCCTGCCCATGCCAGACTGCAGACCTTCACCTCCACAGGGGACATGCCCTGCCCACACCAGAGTGCAGAGCCTCACCTCCGCAGGGGGACATGCCCTGCCCACGCCAGACTGCAGAGACTCACCTCCACAGGGGACATGCCCTGCTCACTCCAGACTGCAGAGCCTAATGTTTGAAGGGGGACATGCCCTGACCACACCAGACTGCAGAGCCTCACCCCTGCAGAGGACATGCCCTGCCCACAAGAGACTGCAGAGCCTCACCTCCACAGGGGGACATGCCATGCCCACACCAGACTGCAGAACCTCACCTTTGCAGGGGGACATGCCCTGCCCACACCAGACTACAGAGCCTCACCTCTGGAGGGGACAGGACCTACCCATGCCAGATTGCAGAGTCTCACCTCCCTAGGGGGACATGCCCTGCCCACACCAGACTGCAGAGCCTCACCTCCACAGGGGGACATGACTCTGTCCACAACAGACTGCAGACCCTCACCTCTACAGGAGGACATGCCCTGCCCACACCAAACTGCAGAGCCTCACCTCTGCAGGGGGACATGCCCTGCCCACACCAGACTGCAGACCATCACCTCCGCATGGGACACGACACTGTCCACACCAGACTGCAGAGCCTAACCTCCGCAAGGGACATGCCCTTCCCAGACCATACTGTAGAGGCTCACCTCCACAGGGGGACAGGACCCTGCCCACACCAGACTGCAGAGCCTCACCTTTGCAGGGGGACATTGCCCTGCCCACACCAGAGTGCAGAGCCTCTCCTCTGCAGGGGGACATGCCCTGCTTACACCAGATTGCAGAGCCTCACCTCCACAGGGGGATATGACCCTGCCCACACCTTGCTGTCAGACTTCTGGCCTCCAGGTCCCTAAGAAAATGATTACTGGTGTTTTAGGCATTCAATGTGTGGCAGCTTGTGAGAGCAGCTGCTCTCAGAGGCTACAGTACCTTGCCATGATTTTCAAGAACATTTTCTTCTTGTTCTGACAGCAAAAATACCGCATAGGGAGTCTGGCTGGCGCAGCTGCCTGAAACACCTGCAGCAGGTGAGAAGTCAGTTCAGAGCCCCGTCTCTTCCTGCCCTAACTCCAAGGCTCGCATTCCTAAACCAAGGCTCAGGGTGGTCCCCACATCGCCTCAAATGGCATCTTCAGCTGTGTCCCTGGCAAGTGCATGATAGATACTCACAGAGCAGACGGTGCTGCCAGCGCACCTCCCAGCCGGACTGACTACACTGTGACTGCAGTTTCTCAGGTGCAGTTGGAGGCAGCGGCCCTCTGTGCCGAGTGGCCTGCACTCCCCTGCTCAGCAGACTCAGTGGAGGTCCACCCGTCAGAGGGCCTTTGCCTTAAAGGAAGATAGATGTAAACCAGCCTTGGCAAGAGTCCTGGTGTCACCTAGTAACGTTTTGTCCCCATTGCTTGATGTTGAGACAAACATGTTTTCCGCAAGCATGAAATTAAATGTTACTAAATTAAACTCAGAGCCTTCCCTGTAGCCTCTCATCCTCGCGTTTGCATCAGCCGACAACCTGCTATCCACACTCCGTTTCAAACCACCCCGTTTCAAACCACCCCGTTTCCATCCCATCCTTCAGCAGACACCGCTCTGAGGCTTAACTCCTCTTTACAGCAGAACTCAAAACAGACTTCCATACACCAATCCAATCTCCTTGCCAGCTGACACTGATTGGGTTTTCACCGCCGAAGCAGCTCTGTCCCCACAGCCGTGACCTCCAGGTGCCCTCGCAATGCCAGCCCTCAGTCCCCATCTCTCTTAGACTCCTGGTGTCTGATGGCCCCACGCTCTCTCCTTGGTGGAACATTTCCTAACACCTCACTCTGGACACGATGCCCTTCCCATCCTCTCAGCTCACAGGTCACCCCTTCTCAGCCTCGCCTTCCTGACCCCGGGATGGTGCAGTGCAGGCTCGTGGTGGACTCTCCTCTCTGAAGCCATGCCCTCTGGCACTGTGTCTGCTGTGCCCCTCCTTCCTATCTGTAGGACCACCGGGTTGTCTCGACCTAAATGGCTCTGCCCTCATTCCCCTGGGAGGAGATGAGAAGGGACAACCTCACACAGGGCCAGGGCCAGGGCTGGGCAGGTTGGAAGGGAGGAAGACCCCTGTGCTGGCACAGAGGTGGCAGGAGGAGGTGGCAGTACAGCTCAGGCCTACTGGGAGAGAGCAGAGAGTGAGCCTGGGGCTGAGCTCACAGGACATCCCTCAAACTGAGTTCAATTCCTCTCTACACATTTGAGAACAACACACAAGCCAGCCCTTTACATCGACATTTCCAGACATTGGTATCTTGTTAAGTGCCTTAATGCAATTCTGAGATCGTAGAGTGAGGCCGCACACACATCTAACAATAATCTACGTTGCACTTAACCCAAATCACTGTGGGCAATTAGTATAACTACCAAGTCGCCTGACTTACAGCTTCTACTTGGTTCTATATGAATTGTGCTCAAGCAAAATCTAGGACACATTCAATCAACTAGTTAATTTAATATTTAGTATATTGGTAATAACAAGGACTCTGTTTTCTAAGTATCAAAGGTTGCAGAAATGTAATATTGAATTTTATTTATAACTATGTGATAATTACACTTAAAATATGATAATTAAATTCATGCAGGAATCAAACTGGAGGGAGAATCAGGGGCAGGAACCAACCAGGTGCAGAGCTGGGGCTGAGCGAGGGAAGGGGCTGCGCAGCATTCACGGCACTCACCAGGGATGGTGTCTGCAGGGCAAGAAAAACAACACACACACACATCCCTACACATGTATACACACCACACACACATGCACACACACATGAACACACATGCATACACCTCCCAACATATACACACATCCCATACATGAAAAAACACCACATACACACCACACATGTACATCTCCATACATGTGTACACACTATAGACACACACCCTTGCATGTATACACACCACAGACACATACACCCATACATTACACATCCCAGTATATTAAAACACACCACATATACACACCACACACACCCCCATACATGTATACACACCACAGACACAGGCACACACACACACCCATATGTGTATAGACACCACACAGTCCTACACACCCATACCTGTACACACCCACCCACACATGTACACACACCCCCCACATATGCACATTTACAAACACAGAGATACACTTTTTTACAAACATATTCCATCATATAAGAAGTCTCATTGCCAAATTTGAACTTTGAAAAACAGATTGCTGAAGAGAGGGAACATGCTTCTGAAAACTGGATTTTTCAGGTTTCATTTCATTTCAAACATTTTAAGTGCACTTTATTAAATATAAAGAAGTTCTTTTCTAATAATAACAGCGAACACAGATTTTAGACGAAAGGGCATGCTTTCCATGTCCAGAGTCTAAAATAAACCCGTCTGCACAGCTGGAATGACACACGGCGTTTCTGAACTGACCCGGCAGTGTGGTGCCTCAGGTACACCTGGGGCGGTGGTCAGCGCTGACCAGACCGGTGACTAGAGGCAATTCCCCATCATGCTGCACCCTCTGCCCCTCAAGGGAGCATCTGCAGGAGGGCACTCAATGCCTCCCACCCTCTTCCAGCATTGTCACAGCAACACCGGCAGGGAAGTCACCAATGACTGATGAACAGAATTCGGGTCAGCACCGCACTCTCCAGGTTCAAATGGACACACACAAACCAGACCCACACATGGATGCACCTGCCACAACTCAAACACCTTTCCACCCTCGAAACCCTGTTCTATGACATCAGCCCTGCTCTGCCGGTTTTGGGATATCTTTGACACAGGCTGAGATCTTTCCTTCCCTGGCCTCCCCACTGCCAGATCTTGTCGAGTCACTTAGAGTTCAGAGGCAGGGATGCAATCGGGGAACCCCATCAGTAAAGGAAGAAATAAGAGAGGGGAGCTTTATGAGTCCAGCTGAAAACAAGAGGACACACCAGCCAGACTCCTTGGAGGAGCGGGCTACTCATTCCTCACCCCCAGTACAGTCTGTGGCGAGGACAAGACCCGTCTGCTGGCCGGCTCAGTGGGCTCCAGGTGGAACACACCCGCCCTGCGTGCCCATGCCACTGCTTCTGACTTTACACAAAGAACTGATGTTAAGTTTCTATCACTTACATACAGCAACCTGCATTCAATTTTGTGCTCCCAAAGTCTGCTTCAAGTCGGCCGCTTGCAAACTGGGTCATAGTTTCTGACAAAGCCTCTCTGTTGCTAAGCTAACTCCCAGGCTGAAGATGCCCCTGCTGTGGGCGAAAGAACAGAGCACGCGCCCCTGGTGCCTGAGTGTCCCCCCTATCCCGGGAACCTGTGCTGGAGCCGTCACCCTCAGCCAGACCTGGGGTTGAGGCCGGGACGGCTCTCTGGGAGCATCAGGGAACCTGTTGGAGAGAGGCTCACACGTGGGACCAGGGGCCACCTCAAGGGGGGTGATCACAGCTGGGTCTGGGAGCTGCAGCAGAGAGAAACCAGCATGAGGAGAGAGCCGAGGGTCAGGCGTGTTCACAGGCACGGGCGTGTGGAGCCCTGTGGGTTTATACGGCCTGAGGCCCACTTCATGCTCACCCCACATTATTTTTAATAAAGGTTGTGGAGCGGCTGCCCCACTTGCTAATTACGCCTTATGTCTTTAATCATCATATTCCAAAGTAACAAAGGTATTGGTGTCTCCAGTTTATCAGAGGAAGCAAAATGCCCGCTTCCATATCTCAGAAACCAGTCGACCTTCAGCTGTGCTCTCCACGCAAGCATGGACGCCAGACTTCCTTTGCGAAT